CCTCTGAAAAAACCCCCAAACAGATTTTTAAAAAACAACAACACAACCCGTATTACATTCCCCGCTGCCAAATTGGCAGGATGATCTGAAGGAAGCCACATTGACTGAACAACTCATTTTTATTTCTCTCACTCAAGCCCGGTTTCCCTAAAGGTATTTCCTCACTTATAACACAGACGCTACTTCTCAGCACAAAGGGATTTGTTCGATGGTGCTCCGAGCCAACAATTTTCGCGGCCATGGCGGAGATCCAACACGACAAGAGATTAAAACTCCAGGTCTGTCGACAGCTAAACCAACATCTTAATCGCACAACGCGACATACCCACGCGAAAGGAAATGATTTGATTGATTGTAGGTGTTCAACCTCCCCCCACCCCACCAACCCTCAATCCACACGCAGTCTTGGAAGCGGGCTGTTCCGACTCTGCCTGGTTGTCGGGGTTCAACCCAGGCTGAGAGGGACACAATATCAAAGGATGCAGACGGAGATATTCAATAAAAGTTCTCCGGGGGCTCTCGTGGTCTAGAGGTTAAGGTGTTCGCCTCTCTTTCAATAGGTCCCAGGTTCGATTCTGGATAGCGACGGAAAATTCTCTTGTCAAAATTGTTCTCCTTTCACATCCTTTCCTTTTCTCGAACAATGTTCTGTCGTCTGCTTTCGTCTCCACTTTCTACCCCCGCCCCGTCACCTCCTTTGCTCCTCCTCTGGGCTCCTGACTCTTTCTGCAGCCTTTCTATTGCTACTCCTTGGCTCCTTCTTACTGTTGTTTTTCAGCCGCACCCCAGATCTTATGATGGGCAAAATCTATACCTAGCCTCCTCGGACAAGGGCGAAAAACCTCGGAGGTCCCGTGCGCAAGTTGCACTGGTTTAAGATCCTTTGGTGGTCCAAAATCGACAAGAGTAGGCTTCGGTCAAATTTTTCTACCTACTGAAAATGATTAATGTGTCACGTGCGCTCATATGACCTTATTACAGTTGCGAGCGCCGTGAAACACTTAAACCACCCCCCCCCCAAAAAAAAAGAGAAAAAAAGTTCTCCCCACACAGGAGTCAAACTTGTGTCCCCTGCATGCGGCGGCGAAGCGCCAAACTGCTGCACCACAGACGCCCGTGCGGAAGGAAAGAGCGGAGAAAATGAAACCCGGGGTTCTATTCCCGCTCTAATCTTCTGATCATATTATTATTATCTGTATCATAAATTTGTGAAAGTTCGTCACTTTGGTCGCCTAAAACTTTCGATCGCCGAGCCACTTAACTTTCGAATTTGAAAAAAGATAACGGTCGTTCAGAATCATTTAAAGGGTGCACAATTATATTAAGGAGCCTGAAGTGTCTGTTGTTTAATTTTCATTCTTTCAATAGTTTCGTTTAGATCTAATCTCGGGAAAGTCTAAGACGCCATTGTAAACAAGTGAAGCTTCCGTTCACAAGCAGTGTGCACCGTTTCCACAATGACATGACGATCGATTCTTCTGAGTCCATTCATCGAACGGGGTACCCAGCTAGTATTATAGCCGTAAAACCCTATACTACTACTATTTGAAACAATTGGATTTATTTACGAGCAGCACTTCTTCAACCTTGCCTGCGGTTAAAAAGGCTATCCCGTACTGAACGGCGTCGGTGGCTCGTAATTGTGAGATTGCGGGTTCGAGGGTTCGAGTCTCAGCTCAGTCCGACGTTTTGTCCTTGGGAAAGGCACCTTACACGAATGTCCTATTTGGCTCAGTCCTTTCGGAGATGAACGTTAAACTCGAAGGGGGTGGGGGGGAGGGGGGCTCTCGTGGCCTTGAGGTTAAGGTGTTGGCCTCTCATTCAAAGGTCCCGGGTTCGAATCCGGGAGGCGACCGAAAAATTTTATTCTCTTAAAGTGTCTCCTTTCACCTCCTTTTCTGCTCTCTAGCAATATTCTGTCGTCTGCTTTCGCCTCCTCTTTCTGCCCCCACCCCCTTTGCCCCCTCCTCTGGGCTCCTGACTCTTTTTGCAGCCTTTCAACTGCTACTCCTCGACTCCTTCTTACTGCTGTCTTTCTGCCACACCCCTGATCTTCTGGTAGGAAAGATCTACACCTAGCCTTCTCGGACAAGGGCGAAAAATCTCGGAGG